AAAGGAGCAGGAGAGAATGTAGAATTGTCAACTGTAAAATGGGAAGGGGTCACTTTGACTCCTCCCTCAGAACTGCCGGCTTTCAAGCCGCTTTGTTTCACTTCCACATCTAGCGCCTGGTCAGATGTTTCACTAATCGGCACCCTGTGGGAGGAGCCGTCTGAGTTTGAGATCCTGGCAGTCTTTTTTTGTTCTGGCCATCATGCTCTGCATAGACACAGATACAATCGGACTTTGTATAAAGGGCAAAGATGGGTCCAGAAAAGGGCAGGCGGCACTCCTAGTCCTAGATTCAGCCGTCCCCGGTGACCGGTTGATCACTAACCTAGGTCGTGTCGTGTGCTTCCGTGGTGCCATTTCAAAAAAAGAATAAAGTAAAGAGAAAATTAAGAGTAAGAGAACCGACGGTTACCTGAACGAGTGACGATTGATGAAGTTCTGAAAATCCTTTGCAGTCGGCTTGTCAGAGCAGGCGGTAGGCAGAAAGGGTCCAAAATGTCAGAACAAGTTCAAGGGTCCGAATGTTCTCTTACAAAGTTTTCAAGTGTGAAAATGATCGAAGTCAACACTCCTTTATATAGGCGAAGTGAGAAGGCGAAGGGTCACTTCCAGAATTCAAAATTTTTGCGGGAGAATCTCTCGGCCTCTCGCCGAGTGACACCTGTAGCAGGCCGTCGCCTGTTACAGGGTGATACCTGTCACAGGTAACACGCGACCAGTCACGTGCCACCTGTGAGAGGCAAATGATTAGGGGATTTTTCCCCACCAATCACCATCTGACAAGTGGACCAATCAGGTTCCGCCATGTGTCCGTCACATGGGCCAATAGGAGCCTGCCACGTGTCAAGCAATGATCCGTCCACTATGGGCCAATTACGACACGACACGTGTCCTTCCCATGACACCTGGGATAACTGGTCACCAAGGCCTAACTTCCGAGGGAAGCCCAATCAGCCCAAGGTTAACCTAAACCTAGATTGGCACGTTTCCCGAGGTTATAAATACCTCCCTTAATCCTCATTAAGAGAGAAGACACAGATTACACACATTAAACTCTCTCACCTAGAGAGACCCAATCACTTTAATTTTTGCATTAATTACTCCTTAATCAAGTACTAACTTGACCGTCGGAGGCGGATCTCCAATCATCCGGAGCATCCGTTTGTTTTGCAGGTACAGGCGTCCGGTTCCAGTCTCGGAATTGTAACTCACCCGCAGGACATCTTAAAACCCCAAAACACAATTCCTAAACCAAATAGGATTAATTAGAAACTTCTATAAGTTTCTAAAAGATCCTAATTATCCTTTTTGAAAAGATAAGATTAAAGAGTTTGAAATTGAATAAAACTCCTTTTTTTTAAAAGTCCTAATTTTATTCGAATTGAAAGACATTCAAAGATAGACAGATATTATTTTCGTGCCTCATAGTTTTATCCAAATTTTATATAGTTGTATATCCCTTTAAATTATCTTTCCAATGATATATTATAATATCAATTCCGAGCTATAACGGAAAAGATATGAATAAAATATCAAACTCTATCCAAAACTGACACCGTCTCACTACTTTGTCCATATCTTTTATTCTAAAAAATATTTTAATCTTATTCTAATTGGGTTAGAAATAAGACTTCAAGAGCTTTCCAATGATATCTTATTCATCTTATTCCAATTTCTGGATCAAAAGATATGATAAAAACAAAAACCGCAAAAACTGCAGTCTATCGAGTTTTGTTCCGATTTAATTCGGATCTTAGCTTAATTCTTCGACCCTTCTTTTTTTCTCTATAAATAGAGGTCATATCACCCCTTTTCCAATCATCAACAAGCTTGATCATTAAATAATTCTCTTCTCCCTCTTTAGCCTAAACACTAGCCTCCCCATTCTTTCACTATTCCTTCCTTTAAGCACTCCAATGAGTCCATACTTAACCCGAGGTTTCGTCCTTAAACCAAGGCATGAAAGGTATAATTAACTGAGGGTTTGGACCAAATTAACTCTACTTTTATTTAGTTTAATTGTTTCAATTTGATTTATATTTTAATTGAAGTTACTAACAGTGTATTCATGATGTAGCAATTCAAGGAAACGCGGAAAGTGAGTAATTAATCACTTAATTACTCTTATTATTATTCTTATTGTATCATGATTATGATTATTATTTGATTTGACTAACACTATTATTATTGAATTTCTTCCAATATTAATATTTATTCTATTTTTTTTATTGATCACCATATTGCATGTTTAAAGGGAATACATAGTTGAAAATCACGTCTAATAAGATAATTTGAACAACCGGTTTAGGCTCCTTTTTAATCTTGTTGTTTAATTAAGTGATCACTAATATTTTAGAATTATATGTTGCATTAATATTCAACCAATTTAGCATAATAATAGTTTGGAATAAATTGAATCTTTGTTTGTATGCCTTTGAGATCGCAGGAATCACTTTTCACTATAAGAATCGAGTAGAGGCCAATACGGGCGAATGTGACTCCATGACTCACTTCGTACCATCATCCCCGATCCTCCTTTCGTGGTTTCGAACCATATGGAGTTAGAAATCTCATGGATTATGAATGGGGTGTAACCTTCACGGGTCAATCGTTGTTGCCTATCGTTGTCCCTTAATTGTGGTTGCCTTAAATGATCCGTGAACGGTTTACAAGTTCCTTAAAAACTTGTTGGCGGCTCCCTACTTTGCTTTGTCCCTAATCGTTGTCCCTAATCGTAATGTCAATTCCCACTTCCTAGGAGTGCCAAGCATATTCACCACATGCTTTAACGTAGATGCACCTTGACCGACGCCTACACTTACAAACCAAAACATAATATAGCATTAAAATCTACTCCACACAAATTTTCAGCAATATATACTCTTATTAAACTACTCATAATTTAATTAAAACAAGCTAAAAATGTATTTAAAACCTCATACTTTAATCCCAATTAAGGGGTAGTTTAAATTCTTTCAAGAAACTTAATTTTTAGTATGCTATCAAAAATTCCAGCAATATAAATTAATAAAAACTTGCTGTAATTACGCTTAAAACCCTAAAATTAAAGGTTTAAACCACCCTAAATCATATTCCTTCAATAATCAATTATTTATGAATCTAGGGTTTCAAATTTGGGGCTTTTTAATTAGAATTAAAATTTGAAAATTAATTTGCACCATACTTAATCATCATAAAATTGACACAGTACAAAAATCATAATTTATAATTAGATCTAGGATTTAAACAAAAGAAAAAGAAAAATATTAATTTTTTTCCTGAAAAGAGGAGGCCGAACAACAGCACAACACCACAGCCGGCTGCTGCCAGGTTGTTGGTGGCGCCGTTGCTGTTGGCGGCTGGTGCTGGTGGTGGCCGACGGTGGTGAGCCGAAAAGGGGAAGGGGAAAAGGAAAGAAAAATAAAGGAGAAGGGAGAGAATGTTTACTTTGGGTATTCTCCACTATGGGCAAAGTTTAATTTGACCAAGTGTTGAATATTTATACCCCTTTCTCTAGAAACCCTTCTTACCTAAACTTTTCCTTTTTACTCTTTCCTAATCCCTTTCCTAATTAAACTTTACTAAAATAAAACTAACCTAAATTAAATCCCCACTTAATAAAATAATTAATTAAACAAAAATTTCATTTTTAAAAATATTTCCAAACTTATTTAAAATAAATAATTAAAATGTCATAAATAATTCATTTTAAATTATTTAAATACCCCACAAAATACTTATTTAAAATAGAATACGTATAAAAATATGAGGTATTACAGACGCGGCAAGGGTAAGATCGTCTTTTCTCTCTTTCTTTCTATTTATGTCGTTTTAGTAGTATTAATTGTGAGGGAGTCATGGGGTCAGGTTTTTGTTCCGCAGTGAGTTAGACTCATCGAAACCCAACAATTAAAGGTTTCAAAATTTGACAAAAAAATAACTATGTGTGTAGAAAAAAAAAAGGAAGAGTGGAGTGAAAACTTAGTGTCCCCTTTGACTATTCAAATTGCCACTAAAATTTAGATAAAAACACAATTTTCCATAGCAAAACAAATTTGCAAAAAAAAATAATAATATAAAAACTACTTATTTTATCACAACTTATATAATCTTTCCAGTATGAAAGTAGTACCATAGGTCCATAAACTACATAATCTTGATCTTGACTTTTGAAGGTAATTAGGTCGTAGATAATCAGTGATTGACTCAATTAAATGGACTTATTATCTTAGACAATGCTTCTATGGAGCCTCGTAGGATTTTAGAGGAGGATGCAAGAGGAGTGGCTTTTCCACGGCTAGACCTGGTTATTGGGTAGGGTAGCCCAATGGCAATAGGGTCAGTGTCAAGCTTAAAGGACTTCTAATGATATCGTCTTTAACGGAGAGGGCCCTTATTGGTTAGAGTCATTATAAGCCCAAAGTGTTTGTCTTATTTAATAAATAAAGAAAATAGATAATGTTATAGATATTTTCATATTCATATATCAATTAATCAATCAATAATCATCAATAACTATTACAGGACGCATGGTGGTGTCGGTGGACGGTAGATTAGTTTTGACGTCAGGGAAGGGAGGGGGTGGTTTTAGGGCTAGGGATGGGGAGGGTGGGTGGTTTGGGGGCTAAGGAAGGGGAGGGTGGGCTGATTCGGTGTGGGGGTTAGGGGATGAGGGCGGTTTCGGGATGAGGAATAGGGAAGGGGCGGTTACCAGAGTGGAGATGGGGAGAGGATCAATTTCTTGTGGTGCTTGTGCTTTTTTTTTTCCCCAAAAACATAACCAGCTCATTGGTTTTTAATCGTCAACCTACTATTGACTCAATTCACAATAATTTATAGCCAAATAAGTAAGCTTGTGTCAACTTGCTGGACAATTAACTCAACATGAATTGGTATGAAATTGAATCTTTCATAACCGAATCAAGCTAAACCCATTTAAAACTCTTTATATTTAATCCAAAATTGTTAAAGAGCCAAACTTTCAAAAGTTATTGACATTTTGCTAGACTATTGTAGAATGTCTCAATAGCCACACAACACACAAAATGTGACCAAAGCAATTCCAAATTAAATTTCAATTATGTGTAAAAAAGAAAAAAGAAATTCAATTAAGGTCCATCACATTACATCTCCACGTGGCGTAAAACCAACCCCGATTCAAGTAACAGTGCCATATTTTCTCTGAAAAACAAAATTGCTCAAAATTTAACCAGAAAATACCTTGAAAGGCCAAAAATGGTGGCAACCATAAGTGGTGTTTCATGCCAAAAATCATTGTTTCTGCAAAACCCAGTAAATTTAAGAGATTCAAGTACTAATTTTGTTAGTGGGGTTCCTTTAAATCTACCATATTTGCAGCTAAATTCCAATAAAAAGAAGAGGAGAAATGATAATATAATTAGTTTGGTGGTGGCTTCAATTTCAAGCAAAACTGTTAGTAGTACAAGTAATGGTGGAAGATTTTATCTGAATTTTACCGGGTTTCCGTTTCCTTTGGGTCCTTTTCTTAATAGACGCACAATTCGAACTGAGGTAACCCATTTTATCTAAATTCTTCTTTTATATTTTAATTAATAATTAATTATATAGTTTCAGTTCTTGTTTGATTATTAATACCATCCCCCCTAAAAAGTGTTGAATTTCGTGGTATTATGAACTTTATTATTTAGAAGAATTTAGAGAGAAAAAGAGGGAAATAATTTTTGTTGTTGATATTATAATATAAGTTCAATAGCATCTAATATTTATAGTGATTATTACAAGCTATTTACAGATGCAACTCTTATTTCTACAATTCTGTTATAACAGAGTTATACTGAAGTTTCTAGAAATTAGTATTCAGTTGGCTTTGTATTGCTTGCATGAGCTCGTGTATAAAAGATGCTGATGATTGTTGATGCTATGTGCATTCTGAGCTGTAGGAATTATGGTATTAGCAATCATTCGAAACAAAAAGATCGCGATGGTGCCTACAATTCATCTTTATAACAACCTGAAATAGAGGGTACTAGGCATAATCAATAATCGATGTCTGTGACTTCACACTGTCAAAGGGGTTGATGAGTAGAGGGTACTAGGTATAATTCATGTATGTGACTTCACACTGTCAAAGGGGTTGATGAGTAGAGGTACTAGGTATAATTGATGTATGTGGCTTCACAAGTTTGTAATGCACAAGATGCTGAAGAAGCTAACTCACTAGTGTTTAATGCTCTTGTAATCTATGTTACACGGACTTTTCATTTCACCTCCCGTGTTGAATCCTCAAGACACCTCCCGAAATAGAGGGTACTAGGCATAATTTATGTATGTGACTTCACGCTGTCAAAGGGGTTGATGAGTAGAGGGTACTAGGTATAACTCATGTATGTGACTTCACACTGTCAAAGGGGTTGATGAGTAGAGGTACTAGGTATAATTGATGTATGTGACTTCACAAGTTTGTAATGCACAAGATGCTGAAGAAGATAACTCACTAGTGTTTAATGCTCTTGTAATCTATGTTACACGGACTTTTCATTTCATCTCCCTTGTTGAATCCTCAAGACACTTTAACCCTTCTTTTTGTGCCAAATTCATGGAGACTTTGACAAAATAGCCAAGTCTTGGGCACGTACCTGTGTTGGGTACTGACTCTACTTAGTACCCAAGAGCAACATAGCTGGTAACCGATACATTCCTTTTGCTAATCTAACTCAAACCCATTGTTTCTTTGATTATTCAGATTGTAAAGGATAGCATATGGTCATTTGAACAAGAACAAGCTCTAGGCTTCAGCAGTGTCTCCACAAATATTCGCATGACTGTCATCAAGCTCAAGTCTGGAGGATTATGGGTCCATGCACCCATTGCTCCAACTAAAGAGTGCATCCAGGTTCAGTCACTCGAAATATTATGTTGATTATTATGGTAGCATGTGAATTTCTCTGTTTTTGAGTAGATGCTTAAATTAAATAATCTTCTCTTCTAATTGTCTTCTATTAATCACGACTATATTGTCTATTTATGTTTTCATTTCATATTGGACTGTTTAATTTAATTAACCTTAGGCAATATACAAATTCTATTTGTCAAAATTAGACTGGGAAAGTTGAAGCCTGACTTGTTCTTGGTAGCTTTGTGTAATTGTAATCTCATGACTTAATTAGTTTACTTAATGCATGTTCAGCTTCTCTGTACAAATTTTTTTTGTTCATTGTAATCCTTGTAAACGTCAAACACAGTATAGAATATATGACAAAAGGTTATACTTTGCCAACATCGATATATATTATTGTAGTTGCTTCATCTGCTTACTTTATCAAAAAACATGTGAGCTGATCATTGATTATATGTTCCTCTGTTGCAGCTTGTGAAGGAACTTGGGGCTCCAGTTGAATTCATTGTATTGCCAACATTTGCTTATGAACATAAAATATTTGTGGGACCATTTTCAAGAAAGTTTCCCCGTGCTCAGATATGGGTGGCCCCTAGGCAATGGAGTTGGCCCTTGAATCTACCACTTGAATTTTTTGGTATCTTTCGCTCCAAAACCTTGCAGGATGAAGATTTATCAACTCCATGGTCTGATGAAATCGAACAGAAAGTTCTGAGCTCACCAGAAGTTGGTAATATAAGTTCTGTTGACAATATTCGAATTTATATACTAAAGTTACTAGCAGATTTTTAAACTCGGAGTTCTATTTTACTGCTCCAAACCTTAAGGTATTGGGCCATATGTGGAGGTGGCCTTCTATCACAAGCGTTCAAGATCCCTTTTGGTGACTGATGCCGTGATTTTTGTCCCGAGGCAGCCCCCAGACTGTATCAGCAAAGAGTCTTTATTGGCATCGGCAAAGAATGGTTTAGCTGTAAAGATTCTTAGCAAAGGAAAAGAAGTCCCAAATGAACCGGTTGTTGACAATTCAATGAATCGTCAGAAAGGTTAGCCGTTGTTTTTCTCCTTATCTATAAACCAGACTTTTTCTGGTGTTGGATCTATTAATAGATAGTTGTTTGTTTCTGCTGTAGGATGGGAAAGAATGGTTCTCCAGATCCTATTTCTTGGTCCATCAAATTTGTTAGAACCAAATGCCACGTTTACTCAGATGTCCCAGAAGCTGATTGTCTCTCCTATAGTTAAAACATTGGTCTTCAGCAAAGTTCCTGAAAAGGTATGACAGAACCATTTTACTGAGGTGTTACTCTTTTTTAATTTCTCCCTTTTTTTGAAGGGGAGAGAGGAAAGGATATTGATTAGTGGTAAGGTGGCTGAATCTAGTTGCTATTATTAAGGTTGTGTGGATTGGGGATAAGGTATATTTGGGAGGGAAAACCCTTAAATCCCCTCACATGGCCATTGCCATTGGCCACATGGGGACCGATCTTGTATTGAGGGCCTTGGTTCTGGCTAAACCATCTGTGTTGAGGATAAATCTATCCTTAGAAACAAAAGATTGTAATATTACTTGTTATTTTGATAATATTATTTGATACAAAAGGAATATATATACAAGTGAATTAATATTATCATGAGTTGCTTCTAAGGATAAATTATTTTTCTATTTGAGTGAGGGGTGGGTGTAACCTTAGGTGTGGCAAAACATCCTATGGTGTTTGAAAAGGTTTACTATGTATGGTTGGGACTTAAGAGACCACCTTATCATAAGATGATTAATATAGGTATCTAAGTGGGTGAGAGATGGTTTCTTGACCATGATCTTGTGATTCTTGTCAATGCAGACCAATAGATAGAGCTGATGTGTGCCATTCTGATATAAAAAGAGAAGAATCAGAATAAAATTGCAGAGGCCAAGTTTTTTTTTTTTATAAGTTCAGTGTGCCTAGCCTTTGGGCCTCGGGGCTTGTCTTATACCATAGATAGCCTTAGCAGGTTTCCTATACGAATGAGATTTATTTTTACTACAACTTCAGTAGGATGCGATCAATAATTCCTTGTAGGAAGGCATTATTGATGTCTAGTTGATGTAGAGACCAACCATGACATATAATAAGGGAGAGTTTGAGTCAAATTGTTGTTGGCTTAAAATTGAATGGTAGACATGATTTTATTAAAAGCTCACTGAGTAGCAAGCATGAGATCTTAGTGATTAGGAGAAAAGCGGAATCTACTGTTGGATGGGTTTCATGATAGTCTTTGTATTCTGTATCCTGCTAAGAGGGTATTTGGAGTGAATTATGGGTAACTATTCGAGAATCTTAGTCAATAGGTTATCAAATTGAGACAGCAACGGGGAAAATTTTGAGTTTTGGTTATGACCAACAAAACCAAATACTCCCTTTCCTTTTTTTGATGTACCGACTCACTCTTGACTGGTTATTTCTAGGAGAGGTTAGCAGGGGTAAGAAAATGGGGACAAAGTTGGAGAGAGACTGAGAGATACAAAGGTGGTGGCCTTAGCAAAATGTGGATAAAGTAAGACGGAAATGAATGGAAAGGTTTAAACATTTTTGGGAAAAAAAAAGGGATAATTTGCCAATTACTACCGCAAGTTAATACCACTTTGTAAATTACTACCGCAAATTAAAAAAGTTATGAATTACTACCGCAAATTAAAAAAGTTGTGAATTACTACCGCAAAAAATTTTAAGATGTTGCGATTACTACAAAACCCCTATTAAACCCAACTATGACGTCATTATATCCCTTTAACCCATGTTTGACCATGGTTAAGGGCTTTAACCAGCCCCCCCCAAAAAAAGAAAATGGGTTAGGGATATAATGACATCATGGTTAACGGCTTTAACCCATGTTTGACCATGGTTAAGAGATTCAACCATGGGTTAAAGTGATATAATGACGTCATAGTTGGGTTTAATGGGGGTTTGGTTGTAATCGCAACATCTTAAAATTTTTTGCGGTAGTAATTCACAACTTTTTTAATTAGCGGTAGTAATTTACAAAGTGGTATTAACTTGCAGTAGTAATTGGCAAATTTTCCAAAAAAAAAGGTTAAGACAGTAAAATGTGTTTTGCCAAAAATTGAACAATGTAGAAGTTGGTACATGAAAAACCCTCTAATGGAAAGTGGGAGCATGGAAAAAACTTATAGACCGGAAAGTACTTGGTGATTCAGTTTATTCTGAGCAAGAATGTAATGCAAACCCCTTTATTCAACAAGGCCTGACCCTGCACTGCTGACTACTATACTATGACTTCATTTTTGCTCAGATTCATAGAGTACTTATTTATTACTATTATTCTGCCAGAAGTGACGGGTAGTTCAATCTCTTGGAAGTGATGCAACATGCAAGCTAATGTAGCTGCAATGGACAGAACATTTTTATAGGAAATTTACTTTTCTGGAAAAAAATTCAATAGTATATATATTAGTTTCCACCTTGTAGGAAAATTTAGAGAGAACAAGGAAAAATGAAAGTAGGAGGGAGAGGATGAATGGGAGAAGTATGTATAGGAGAAAACAGGAGGAGAATGTGTCTTCCTCCTGTTGGAGAAGAAATGTTTTCCGTCATTGGGAAGAATTCTTTTTCACCTATGGAAAAATTACTTTCCCACCTTTACAAACAAAACAAAGTTAATTGGGACAACCGCTTTTCCTTGAAATTGTTTTCCTCCCAACTAAACACTCTCTGAGGGCATTTGCTTTCTCTTCAAAGAAAGAAAATTACAAAGCTTTTCTCAATTTTCTTTGTACACAAGCTTAAGTAGTGTTCTGAATTTTGTGTGAAACTTGTAATACGTAGTAAATTTTTTCCAGACCCTTGCTAGTTGCTAATGCTCATTTTACTTATATTTATTACATGTAATAAACATTTAGGTGAGGGACTGGATTGATCGGATAGCTCGAGACTGGAAATTCCAGAGGATAATTCCTGCACATTTTGCAGCTCCAATAAAGGCAAGCAGATCAGAATTTCTAGCTGCCTTTTCTTTTCTGGATGACCTCTTGGGTGAGCAATATGTTACTAGGCCTTCACTATCACTCCTATTCGCTTCATTCATGGGAAAGGCTGCCAATTACTTCCCGCCAGATGATATGATAACATTATCTTCCCTTGATGAGTTCTTAGTTTCTGTGGGAGCTGTGAAGAAAACAGTATCAGGCCGGAAGAGATGATAAGCAACTTCTAATTTCAGCTGCTTAATATGTAAAAATATGTGTAGTACATATCCCTTTCATATCCGTGGAATCTCTTCAAACATTTTTTCTTTCTTTTCTTCTATGATATAAAGGAAAATTGAAGTTAAGATGAGCTTTCTCTTTTAAAATCAGACCAGACTTGAAAAGTTCAATCTGGATAATTGTTTATTGACACACTAGGTTATCACCCGTGCGATGTACGGATTTACCAGTAATTTATCTTTTGATTTTTGTCAAAAAAAATTTTGAGTTTAAAATGTTCATAAGTTCAATTTAGTTGACCTCAACTATGTGTCTATGTTAACAAGTCCTATAAAGACTAATAATCTAATATCAACATAAATCACCAATATAATAGGTATTTTATTTTAAATTAATCACCATTATCTGTTTAAAATTAATTAGCATTTTGTTTCAAAAATAAAAATAATTAGCAGTTGAGCGGGAAATCTTTTCATAAAATATTGCTACGTGTACCGTACAACATTGAAAAAAAAAATGATATCAACGGTTATTAGTTATATAGATTATAGATAGATAGATACTTTTAATTTTGTAATTTTATAAATAACGAAAATTAAAAATAAACATTTAAAACATTTAAACAAATCTAACCACTTACTAGTAGTATTATTTTACTCTGTATGTATTAGCGTACAAATGTGTCCAATTTCAATCGAACCAAACGACACAAATTAAACTAGAACATATCACAAAAATTTATTAAAATCCAATTTACAATAACGATATTGTAAATCGGCTCGCTGCTCGCACCTTCTTCCTTTTTTTTTTCTCATTTCCTGGATCTTCTTTGAGTGCTTTAATTTCTTCTTTCAGTTTCTTTCTCTACTCTTGCTTTCCTGTTCTCTCCTTTTTTTTTTTTTTTTTTTTTTTTTTTTTTTTTTTTTTTTGTTGCAAATCATTTTCTCTTATGATTGAATCTTGTGATATTGCTTCATACCGATCCTTGAATGGATGGAGAAGGACAAATTTAAGCATTCTTGCTAATTTGATACTATCTTGGTATATTGGTATGTCGTATCTCGTATGTGATTAAAGTGCACTTCCTATTGGTATGTCGTACTCTGTAAAGCTAAGGGTGTTTGCAAAGCAGAGAAGTACTTTTGATAGTCTTCCTTCTGAAGTGAAAAAAGGCTTCATATGGAGCTCTTTGAATTGTAACTGTACTGGAAAGATGACTGAAAGTATTGGCTCTTTCTGATAAGATGGATGAGATGAAGTATAGGCATTCAACAATCTTATAAATCTCTTTATGAAAGTAGATAAGCCTGAATAAGTGGCTTTTTTGTGAAAAAAAGGATCACTTTTGGGAAAAAAAAAAAGTCACTTTTGTGAATAAAAATGGTCACTTTTGTGGAAAAAAATGAGTCATTTTTGTGGAAAAAAGGGTCACTTTTGTGAAAAAAAAGGGTCACTTTTGTGGAAAAAGGTCACTTTTCGCAAAATGTTCGATGTACAGTAAAATTATTGTAAACTGGGGGCATACAAAAGTTTTTGAGAACCTATATAGCATCTTATTTTAGAAAAAAAATTCTTTGTGGTGAGTTTTACCAAAGTTATACTACCTCTGTTACATATTATTTGAAACGATTTGACATGAGTAGTACAGAGAAAAAATATTTAATCGTAGCAAATAATATGCAATGGAAGTTGTTTCGGGGTTTTTGTCCCTCGGGAGAGTTACAACACTGAAACTGGATTCAACTGAGGACGCCTGTACCTGCAAAGCAAACGGACCTCCGGATGGTTGGGGGTCCGCCTCCGAAAATTAAGTCAGCAAACGTTGGGAAATAAAACGTGCGGAAGTAAAGTTATCTGCTTGGATTCCAAGCTCAGGTAAAGTGAGATAAGTGACGTATTGTCTCGTATTGCGTGTCAAAAATTCTCTCTCTGTCATAAATGACATAATGTCCCCATTTATAGGGTCCTTTTGAAAAGTGTGCCTTCCTAGGATCTGGTGACCTAGGAATTAGGTCACGCCGTTTTTGCGGCGCCTCGGGATTTGGGCCTTAGAAGGCCGCCATCCCAGGGCCAATGCCTGAGTGACACGTGTCACTGTGCCCAAAAGGATTTTGAAGCACTTTTTGTGTGACACGTGTCGCCACCTGAATGGTCCCTGCTGGACCTTCAGTCCACGTAGGACGGAGAAGAGTCCACCCTCCACGTGTCATCATTCCATAGGTCCAAATGGCACCTATACGGAGGACACGTGGCGCTTTTTGATTGGGCCACCTGGCCGGGTATAAAATACCCAAATCATTTGCATTGCACGTGACTTTTGTGACAGGTGTCAGTATCTGAGTGGTCAGATTCAAAAATTTTATTGGAGGGAAAAAATTAGGGTTTTACCCCCCTATAAATAGTGAGGTTTGACCCCCCCCCCCTGGATTCACACCTTGGCGAATCTCTGGAGAATCTTGGACTTTTTGACTTAAAGAATCTCAAAATTCCCTAAGCGTTTTTCAAGCATCCGACACTCGGCCAACAGTCCGACCGTTCTTTAGTCAACCAGGCGTCTTTCTCCCTTCTTCTAAAGGTAACGCCTGTATTTTCTTTTTACTCTTCATTTTTTCTTTGTTTTCGAAAAAATGGCTCCCCAATTGCATGCGGCACGGCATAGGATAGTGATCAGCCGGTCACCGGGGACGGCTGAATCTAGAACTAGCAGTGCCGAATGCTTGGCCAAAGACCCTGCTTTGCGGACTTCTCCGAATCCGACCGTTTCCGTGTCTGTGCAGGACACTATGGCCAGAATCAAAAGAACAGCAAGGCAGTGTAGCTCCGATGGAGTTTTCTACCATTCGGATCGGTCGACTGTTTATTCAGACGGCTCAATAAGAGTGCCTCGAAGTGAGCTGTCGGAACACCCTGACAGCCCTTCCTATCTTCCTCCTACCCCCACCTATTACCATTCGCCCACATCTAGTGGAACTCCCAGTGATGGAATCCTGGGGGAGGCGGATGAAGAATATCAACCCGGGCCTTCTGAACAGGCGCCGGAAGAGAGTCTAGGGGAGGACCCCGCTGGCATCAGTCGGCGGTCCCCTAGCTCTGATGAGAGCTCTCATGACGAGTCGGCCTCGTCATCTTCTTCAGAGAATGCCTCCGTAACTTCAGAGGAGGCTAGATCAAACATAGATTCTGCCAGAGAGACTCTGGCAGTGGATAGGGGGGAAAGCTGGGCCGAGCCGAGTGCTTCCAGGCGCTTGGAGAGAGCCCCCTACTATCAGCATGTTCCGCCAGGCAGGCGGAGCGCCATGGCATCCGGCCTTGCCAATTTTAGGCACAAGGTCGTCCTAGGCTATGGTTACACTTTGTCGGTCCCTAACGAGGGCGACACCATAACCTGGCCGAGCCTGGCCAGCTATCAAGACAAAACATTCGGCTGCTATGAAGCGGCCTTCTAGGCTGGCCTCCGCTTCCCTCTCCATCCGGTCGTGGAGAGGATCTTGGACAGATATCAACTGTGTATCTGGCAACTTGTACCCAACTCCTGGATCAATATTCTGGGGTACGTTGCCGCCTGTGAGATGCTGCAGGTGGAGGCGAGCTTTGAAGCGTTCGCCCACATGCACTATCTGAGCAGGGCGCCTGCTAGGGGCGGTGAAGGCTGGTACACCTTGACCACTTGCAAGGGGTACATGATGGTTGTTGGCAAAGAGAACAAGTGGAAAGACTGGAGGACTAAGTTTTACATAGCCAAGTCTGCCGACAGCCGCCTGAACCAAAAGTATAACAGGTGGAATAAGGATCCACCTCTCCTAGCAGGCAGGAACGCATTGCCGCCTGTTCCCAGGGGGGCAAAGGAGGAGATCATGGACGCGGGGTTGTTTACCGTGTCCGTGTGGACGAATGATGAGGGGGAGAAGGAGGTCACCCCTCAATGCTATCTCCCTTTGTATAACTGGTTTGAAGAAGGAACATTCTTAGCCGCCTGTGGGCTAAGTTCTGAGATGCCGAGAGGTAGTCGGCCGTCTGTTTTATATGCAATTTACTTTTGCTTTTCAGTACTTGTTTAATGATGCTAACACTTGTTCATTTTTGCAGACAAAGCAATGGAAAAGCTCTCGGCCACAAGGAAGCCGGCTGTATCTGCTGCTCGATACAGGTTGAATGTCCTAAACAGGGCAGAAGTAACCACTCACACCAAAGTGGACGAGCAGAAAACTGGCGGCACCTCCAAGGTAGAAAATTGTTATACTTTCATTTCTGACCAATATTAAATTTGCCCGAATGATTTCTAACTTGCGTTTATCTTGTGTTGATGTAGGGTGCGCCTTCCAAATCTCCTTCAAAACCATCCGACCCTAAGGTCCAAAAGACAAGGGCGGGTGATGTGAGCGCATCCGGCAAGGGCGGTCGGAAGCACATTGCTCATAGGCCCAAGAGGGGCCCAGACGCCTCTTCTCTCGAAGCTGAAAAGGAGATCAGCAAACCGGATGCCCAGAGGGCATCGAAGGGTGGCTTTAAGCAACCCACCACTGCTGTCGGCTCAACAGGAGAGAAGAGGAGCCTGGGGAGAGAGGATGAACAGAAGGACGACGATAAAATCCATTCGCCTCTATTGTTCTTCCATTTATATGTACTTGAGTTATTTTTCTAACTTTCTTTCCTTCTCAGTTCCTGTGCAGAGGCCGACTGTAGTCCAGATGGCCAAGTCCATGCTAAGGGCGGTTGATCCTGACGACAAGGCATTTGTCAGAGGAGTCGGCACCTTGACTTGGATGGCATCTTGGGGAACCTCTGCGAGGTATGTCTTAGCTCAAGCAATTTTTTTTTTTCCGCCTGGTTTTAACCATTCGACTCTTTTGCAGGCCATGATGCGCGTCCAAGGACTTAGGCTACCCCTCAAGGAGAAGTCCAAAGAGGTAACAGTTGCCAAAGCTCGGGCCGAGTCCGCCTTGGATCGAACTCAATTTGATATTGCTCAGAATGAGTTTCTGACGCTTGATATGATGTATTCGCAGGCGGAAGCCAATATGCAGGTGAAGAAGGACCTGGACTCGGCCTGCCTGCGCATCACTTCCCTTAAGAAAGAGATTACAACTCTTAAGGAGAAGCTCGAGCCTCTTCAAGATGCCAAAGA